GACGGTTTGATCAAGATACTTGTAATCTACGCACATGGGTGCTGAACAAGATTGGCATAAGGGCTTTTATTCATTAGATCCTTTTTAGCCTGTGTTGTTATTGTTTATCACAAGTTAATTACAGTGCAGAGTCTATATGATTATCTAGTCTAGCGATACTGTAGAGCTCTTGACTATAAGATTGCGAGGTGTCCTAGAAAATCAGTCAGGCTGTTATGGTTCGGAAAACCAGCGAGGATACAAAATGCCCTGAAGCAACGGCGACGGAGATTCAAGTATATTGACACTGACTCAAACTCTTAGATAGTGGGCTTAGATAAAGATAAATATCCAAAGTCAGCTTATGATGAAATTTGCGCTCAAGGACGTACTAAGATATTAGCAAGGTTGGCCATGTGATGAAGAACCTGCATGTGAACTCGGGTTTCTGGGCATTTGTGTGATGAATAAAGAATCTACCTAGCAACAGGTTGTGCTACCTGTTGCCTGTGAATATTGTTCGCCCGGTGGGAGAATACAACAACCTTGGAGACCTTTCCAGAAATGACCTGTCTCTTAGCCAATGCCCCTGCTGTTGATTACAAGCATGCATGCATGGGTGAACAGACCTAAGCCTTCCAGACAGCCCTATCCCACACACTGCTTCTGCCAAAGGTTTAGAAGCAAGCCATGTGGTTGAGCAGTTCCTAGGTTTATATCTGAAGGGCGTTGGCCGTCGCTGAGGTGGCTAAGGAGAAAAGACCCTTGCAAAAACACCATCATAGTTTAGAAATGCAGAGCGCGATCTCCTTCCCATACCTGTCAGAACAAACACTTTATACGAGCGAATTGGCAGTCTGGGCTTAAAGCTGAACAATTACCTTAAAAATGGGAAGCGTTTCCGCAAACTGCACACTCACTCCAAGGCGTTTATTAGGTGCCGTCACCAAATACTCGCTAATGCTGGTATCAACATCCCGCTGTTGTTCCCGTCTACATCCGACAACGACGAGTTGCTTCTCGGTACCGACGTGGAGTTCACCGCCACGGGGAATGAGATCTTTGTTCATTCTAGGTATCCACGTCTACTACGAAACCGATGCACACGATCCCACTGCTGGAATGCAACGTGATACTTCCGAGGACGCCTCACCGGAAGAGAATCGAATTGCACTCGTCCGCTATATAGAACATCTGGCACTCGCTATTATAGGGGGCCGAGGCACGGGTTTTGGGAACTAGATGAGGGTAGAACGATGGAGATTGAAACCGTTTGCCGGTTCCATCAATTGCGTACTCGCCCTCAACCCAAAACCAGCAACCGAATTAGTATACAGCAGACGAGGTAATAACTTAGAATTGCTCTTGTGTGTTTCTTGGCAGCCCGGGAGATGGGCATGCAAGCTACGGCCATCGACGAGCCCATCAATGTATTCTTTTAAAACGCAAGATTGACCAGATAACTGGAGAATTCGAAATTGCGTTCGTAGCAACGGTTTGAAATGGGATTGCCAGGATGCCGTGAGAGCCTAGGGCAGGTGTTTCAGTTCAGATCAACTTTAAACAAGATGGACGACATAAGCTGGTTTTGTTAATTGTGTTATTATATATTGACTAGCCCAAGTCCCAGTAGTTCTAGCCGGCATGTTTGATGGCAGTATGGTTTGGAAGATATCTTGGGGTACACGTGCTGAGTGATGGCTTCAAGGCAGGGGACAATTTCACATATTAGCCAACGGTACTTTTGTACATGCATTGTTGAACAATACCGGACTGTTCCCGTTACACATTTCTTCTTCACGAGCCTGCAAAGTGCTACGCATATTCTTGCCAACAGCGACGGATAACATGGCGCATTTTTAAATTCGGTGTAGTCCGGTGGAATTCAATTCTGAATTGGATCTTTGATTCATACCTGGGGTACTCCACAAACCCCCAGCATGCCCATGGGCATCCAAATATGGATAGAGTAATGGCTTATCTGGCTTTCACACCTACGACAGGGATTACCACGACATTGGGGTTGGGATTGTGCCCTTGACGAATATGCGCTATCCCTGCTAGAGCAACATGGTAACGTCTAGCGATGGAAGATATCTTGGGAAATTCCTTGCTCGTCTACATGAACTAGAAACATCACATTTTGTTTCTATTACCTCGGCTATTACTGGGCTCATGTGCTTAGTATTGGTAAAAATAGGTCGTTCCACCACAAGGCACCAAGTTGTGGAATCTGGTCTATCCAAAACCAGGGACAATAGACACAAAATCAACCCCTTAGTGCTCAGCAGAGAATCCAACAAGGTTTATTTTCTCTAGGCCAAAACCAGCCTATATTTACCTTTTCTTCTCGGTTGGACGTGGAAGATGCCCCGTTGGGTCACCCCAAATTAACCAACTTTTTCACGAAGAAAGACACAGCGGCAGCACAAGGTACAGTGGCGGCACAAGGTACGAGCTTACTTAGTTTTTTATTCTCTAATATCAACAAATATATAGTTCCTGACAACTCTATAATTTAAGAAAGTTATGGCGTGGCTGCACCTAGAATAGGTATAGCCTGTGGTGCCACACACCCCCAAAATTAATAAGGCTACCATACTATACTAAGAAACGCCTACCTAACGGTATGAGAACACGGAATCCTTCCAGTTAATCCAAAAGGAGCGGACCGCGAAGATTCGGCCAAGTTTCTTACAGAAAGACTTTATTCTTGACAAATCCATTACTCCTGCACACTCCGGATAACGCCTGGCAAATGATCAACGAGGTCGAAGTACCTTCCTAGCAATAGTGGTTGAGGTTGCTTCTCTGCCGTCACCCTCTTTACCCTCCTCTTTACCCTCTTCACCTAGATACGTCGCGTCCAACAGGGCCGTTAGTGCAAGGGAACATACGGGTTTCAATGCAAACAGAAATCTCAAGAACTCGCCCGAGAGTGTCCAGTGGGCCATGTTTCCAGATCTGGGCGTCGTGGTTTTATTGCCCCGGCTTCCACAAGCCCAGACCTCCCCTGTTGGCTTTTTGGAAGTTCGCTGTTTACGAAAGGAATCTTGACCGCTGCTGACATTTAGCTCCACAGGAAACCGGTGCGTTGGCATCTGTAATTTTGGAAATCCTGCTGGCCAGGCTGTGTGGGCAAAAGAGACAAGTTAATCGGGCTGTTGCTTGGGCAGATGGCGGCTTTGGAGTCTTTTTTTAAGAGTGGACAATGTGAGTTTCGTATTAGAGAGCATCCAAAATCCTAATGGCGCGAACCCACCCTAAGTACAATGAGAATTACGTGGTGCAAACAACTGGATTTGATCACCGCCACTGAGAATCGTAACCGCGCACCGTGGGTATAGCATTGAATGTGTCTTGTGAGGAAGGCTATCTTTGCTGGCGTCAAAACTGGCCTTATTACCGAAGAGGATGCAGAAGAGGCCAAAAGAATCTACGAACCACCTTGTTCATTGCATGTCTTGTATGGGTCCTTCGGTAGTACAAACAAGCAAAGCATGCCTGATGTTTATTTCCATGAATTGCTCTGAATAACTGGGGAAAAAAAAGCCGGGATTCGCACATAAATACCAGGATTAAAAGTGGTAACAACAGAGGAGAACACATGGGGCCATTTTCAAAAGGGACATAAACCTACCATATATTGGCGTCCCACAAACATTGCCCGTACCTAGTACTCCAGCTGTCTCATACATGGCACTACATACGATGGCTGGCCATCTAGTTAGATGCTATTGCTACACCTAGGCAAGCACGCTTGCAATTCTATGAAGCACGTAGTACCGGTATACTTAAATGTAAGTATCCAAGATTAGTTAATGAACATAAAAAGAATGTTCATAGCGGCTGTGTTTACTGGAGTACCATTTGGAAAAATGCAAATATTATTCTTAGGCAGATCCGCGCTCTCTACTTGCCTCCGAGGTGTACCGCCATCTTCAGCTCCCTGGCCATATCAGCCATACACGGGATATATTGAACGACCAGAGTCCAAAGCAGGGCGGTGCTTGCAAGACAAGTTAATGCCCGTTCGCAAATGATACCATATATGATAGAACCACAGGCTGTGACCGGCTGGTGGGATAGTGGAGAACAAGGAATATCGTTGTCAATGCATGTGAGGGGACATCATGAATATCCCTGGACCTGCAGACGCAAACCTGTGGTGAACAGCATTATAGAACAATCAGTCCATCTGCACCCTTACTAGCAATAGATCCATGGATGAGAGGCAACAAGTCCTGCCTCCATAATAGCCATAGATTGTCCGTCTATGACTTTCTTCTTTCTCCCCATAGCCCTGTTCGTTCCATGACAAGGCTATTCTTAACTAACACTCTTTGATACCCATTCAGCCTTCTCTTGGCCACATGAACTTGTCTGGTTGATGATTACGAAAACACCTGTGCCACAAATGAAGCCGTGTTCTAAGAAGCGACTTCCAGCAGATTGGAACCTGTTTCTCATTCAACTGACGACAATGCAGACCGTACATGCCTACAAAGAGGGAATGCACGTGACTGACCATTTGGGCAGCGCTCAGTGGGTGTTGAATTGCGGGTTGTCTTTCAAGGCATAGAGCAAGCACATCTGCTCCCATGGTCAAGAACCTCATATAATGAGACGCGAACTTGGGTAGAACAAAGCGGCGGTTCTTTGACCTCGACAATCATTACTCGACATGGAGATCAAAGAATCGTTATCAAAGACTAATCATCAAGGAATAATCATCAAGGAAGAATAACGAAAGACAAATGATCGAATAATGGTAATCAAAGAAACAAGGACATAGGAGCCAAGATCAGAATCAATGTATTGATCTAACAAAGCCGACGAGGGAGCGAAAAGACATAAATAGACTCGGTACGTCGACCTTGAACAGAATTTCATTCCAGTACCAGCGCACATCGGACAGTTCCACAGCTATCCATAACACCTTTCGAGCAAGACTCGATTCTCAACACCAAACCACCACCCCAACCACCAAAATTTCTTTTTCCACCACAACCATGACAACCATGTCTCAAACCGCTAACCTCGAGTGCCTGCAGTGCAGGGCACCCCCTACCAAAACCTGCCTTGCAAACCACTACGTCCGAGAGCTCCCGCAAACCGTGACAATGTCAGATCTTTTCGTCTCAGGCGGCGCAGCCCCAGCGGCGGGCCTCGACGGATTGAACATCGATCATGTCCTTGCCGAGCCAATTGACTGGGATGCGTTCCAAAGTCTGGCAGATGAGCTCATGGACTTGGCAAGCATGACTGCGAAAGACAAGGCCTTCTTAGGAAGCATGATGAACCCCATCGCGCTTAGTGATGACGAGGATACGGATGGCATAGTGAAGATCAAGCCAGCATCTGCAACCAACCCCGTTGTGTTCATTGATGACGGGGATATGGATGTCGATATCAAGCCTGAGCCATCGTCTCCGAGTGACCACGTTGTGTTCATTGATGACAAGGATACTGCTAACAAGCCCCAGGCTTCTACTCGTCAACCACGCCGTCTACCGCCCGTGGTCTCCGTGGCAAACCCTCGTCCTAACCCTCGTGCTAACCCCCGTCCCATCCCTCAGCCCCTAAGCATAGACTACCAGCCGTACAAGCGCCCTAGCGCCCCGGCCCCGGCCCCTCAGCCCCCAAGGGCTTGCGGCAGCACCCCGCATCTAGCGCAGCAACTCTCCGCAGCGCGCGAAGAGCTCACCGCCTCGCGAGCAATGATCACAGAAATGAAAAAGACGATCGCGAAGCAGGACAAGGCTCAGAAGGAGCGGGTGCGCAAGCTGATGGAGGCCGTGGGGGTGCAGAACCTCGCAGAGCAAAACAGGCAGAAGGAGCTCGAGGCCGTGCGGCAGCAGCTCAGCGCTTGCCGCGACTGCTACCACCAGGAGCGCTTGCGGACCCGCGGTGCTCAGAATACGGCGGCGTATGCGCGCGCGAGGGCGCTGAAGGCTGAGCGGGAGGCGGCGAGGTGTGAGGAGATGGCGGTGAGGTGTGAGGAGAAGTCGGCGAGGTATGAGCAGGAGTGGAATAAGATGGAGTATCAGGTTAGGGCGCTGCAGGTGCAGTTGAAGATTGCGAGGTCGGAGCGCGCGCGGTTAGCGGGGCTTTTGGGGTTGAGGTAAGTGCTTCATCTGGGGCATACTAACTATCCCACCTGCTTGCTAACATTTCCTTTTACTTGTTTGTTTATTGTGTTTTGTTTATTTGACATTGGTATGTGGATCCACGGTGGTAAGACATCTCTGCCTGGGTTGTATATCACCTCTGCGATTAGAACACTGGATCAATTTATATATCACAGACAATATTATAACTCATTCCATGAAGTTTCAGCAAGCATAATAGTACCAGAGTCAGAGCATTCCAATACAATGAGTAGAGAAGATCCACTAGATAATGATTACATCCTTAGAGGTTTCTGGTTTGATATAAATGCCATATTTATTACGTTTAATAAGCAGTTAATATCTCATATTGCACAAGGCTTATATGGACAGCCTCTGAACTGCCCAACTCACTGTTCGTGCATGTTTCTAACCAACCTACATGGAAGCAAGCAGGAGGCTGCCATACGAAACAAGTAGACATGGCAATAACCGCAATACAGTGTCTGGGCGTACCTGAGCATAACGTATTAGTGACTCCAAGCCATTACCTGTCGCATATAGTCTGCAGTAAGCGAGGTCTACATGGAGCGTGGTACAATACCTGGGACTGGCCATGCAGTTAATAAACAACACTGCGTTCATACCTGCTTCAAACATTCCTATCCCCAACCCTGGTAATAACGGCGTCTTGTGGCAGCTTGTGTGAATTCTTCTTATATAAGTTTCCTTGTTCGAGATGTTGGGCCATTAAACAGTCCAACCCGAAAATTTTGTCTCCCACTAGGTACTGGCTGACTGCAGCGGAGGAACCAAAAATGCGCGGGTGAGAAATCACAAACCCTCACCACCGGCATATACCGGGATATTGCAATTAGCGCTTCACCAGCAGCTGGGTCAGAGTCCCGGAACTGACCTGGAAGAGTCGGCAGATATAAGTAACCACATTTGCGCTGATCTTACGGTTTCGTCCCAAGGGCCTGTAAAATGCAACGATATCACCACGAAGCTGTAGTGTGTATTTTCCATCGTATGGACCACCCAACCAAGCAGTATCCACGCGGCGTCTTGCTCTTGAAGAGTTTCGGCGAATTGTGTCTGGGAAGTCCCCTGGCTCGTTGACTACAACCTTTCTCGTCGATGATCCGAACAGAATGAGGCAGAGGTTCGATCCCGCGTCGACACAGTCCCCGGCCTTATCTGCATCTTGCTTCATAGTGCTCAATCATGGTAGATTTCCATGGGTGGATCCCGGCCTATTTGGCCATCCCTTGCATATACCAAGGAACTGGTTTTTCCTTGACGGTCTGCTGTGCTCTTGCTGACATTTGCTTTTCACTTTGCCTTCGCTGATTTCATATGTAACGTCTGATAATCTCTGCGATGTTATTGTAGAAGCTGGTGCGATAGCACTCTCCTATATCAATTCGGACAATTGATAACGCATCAACCCTCACCACCAGTACCTCCCTACCCAGCACCTTGGGCCACAATGGACGAAGCGGAGCTTATATTTTGCCAGAAACTACTAGAGGTCCTTCAATTCTCCTCGTCACTGAATATCAGGTGGTACAAACGGATAGCCTCGACCAGGCCGAAGGCTCTTGGGGTTTACCTTCTTGTTTTCGCAAATGGGACGTTGCATTCCACTCATCTATCTTGGGTGTGGTACCAGCACATGATACTTCGTGTATTCATCCACTTATCCATTGTGCCCTTTTCGCCTGTTGTGCTATCCCTCCATGCTTGCAACCAGCTCTTCGAATGATGGTTCAGACAAACTTCTCACACCAAACTTAATGAAATCTCAGTTAAATTGCTAGATTGCTGAGCATTCCTGAAGTAAAAGCATGTGGAAGGGGGGCCCTTATTACCCCAAAGCTTGGAAATAAGAGATTGGGCTTATCCCTTTTCTAACATATATAACATTCACCAAGAACTAGAAGTCTTGCTTCTCAGAATAACAAAACATCCTGCCCACGAGTTTGTTTCTTAACCCTTTTATACTACTTTAATGAGTGCTATTAATCCAACAGGGCTGAATTGAAAATATTCCCCTACTTAGTTCAGAGGCGCTACGTATTTCGGCTCTCGGGGACGGGTATTACTAGTATGCCTATTGTTTGTGGAATTATTTACAGGATCCTAGGTAGCCACAAGCAGCTACCTAGAACCTTGTTGTTCTGTGCGTTTTAGGGGAATGCAATGTTTAGGCTCAGTAAAATAATCTTTGACTGGGTGCCATGGTGAGCCCGCGGCTGCTTTGCCACTGCCTTTATCATTTCCAATGCCTGTTAGGTATCTTACCACACGTATCCACTTCGAAGTCCGGTGAGCCACTTGCAGAGAGTATCCATGACTCATATATTGTGGAACATGCACCCCGTTGTGTAACAGGCTCTATATTGTCCTCGGCGTCCCTGTAAAAGCACGCTCAGCTCTTTATGTACATGCGTTCCAACGGCAGGAGCATCCATGCGGATGCTGTTTCGGCCTTGGTGGCCTTGGTAGCCTTATCGACATGATAAATCTCATGTCCCCATACCGATCCCGGTCTATGGACCCGGGAACCGAGCTTTGACGAATTGGGCTCTAGCTGCTCCATGTAAAAGACCAGAGGGAAAGTCCCCTTACCCTAGTCTGTATACAAATGCAGAGAGGCAGGGGTGGCGTCACCTTTGCCAAGTAATGCATGCAAGGCCATCTAATAATACCCTTAATCCAGAGGCGCACAGAAGATTGAGCAGTGGTCGACAAAGATACCCGCAAGCGCAAGTCTCCAGGGAGCCCCGAAGATCAACAAGCCCATCCACGGCTCAGATATCTCCTTTGAGGGTAAATTTGTTCCTGGAACCCACTTTATGTGACGAGTGTCATGGACGATGACTACCCTGAACACATGGCCTAGGTATGATACGCGATACAGCAATGGAGAGAGCTCCCCGTGAGGTTCACTATAGGGCCACATCCTGGATTCCTTTAGTTGTCTCCGAAACAAGGCATAGGGGTGCGTTAGCAGAGACTCGATATGGATATCGTATGGTATCTCAAAGGCTCATGTGGCTGAGACCCAGATCGGGGCGAGAGTTGTGGGCCTTGGGACACCGTCATGGGGTGTGATTCAGTCCGACTGACAACCTTCAGCCAGTAACTGTCCGGCTGGAATTCAACCTATTGCATCACGCAGCCCATCAGTTACCCTAGGTATACGCTGTCTACTCCTACCCAGGAAGGTCCGACACAGTACCGCACCTGAGCCTCACTGGGCCTCACTTGCGTCAGTTCTCTTGGTGGTTGCGAAGTATGGATCAACCGCAGGTAAAAGGATCGACCCTGCGCGGACAAAACTACCTTCATTCTCAGTAAGTCATTGAGCATATGACTGATCTCATTTGACAGGCCATGGGGGGTCAGTATCTTGCCGAACCTCCTGTAGGCCACACAATGGTGTAACTCCGGACATAGTTGCATTCAAAACGCTTTAATAACGGAAAGTTATCAAGGTACAAGCAACTTGAGCTTAGTGCCTCACAATATTGTACCAAAGTAGCGTTATAACCGGCGGGGCTTATCTTTATTTTTGAACCCCCGGGCCTTGGTTCCAGAACCATTGAACTAGGATTGTCCCTTCGCCGTTCACCTTTGGACTTGGATGGGTTTAACATTTGGAGCGATTAATAGCTCTTGGAGTACCCTGGAACTGGAATGCTATTAACTTCCTTGATTTTGTCGTACGTGGCGTATCTACCACGCATTTATTGAATTGCCGCAGCAAGGACCCCATTAGATGCTGGTGAAACTGCGATGCAACCTCCGCCATTGCAGCCAAGTTCCCAATGTTTTGTGTTCTTTTCACTGGAATCTCAAGAAACGGGGGCCCCTTAAGGACATTGGATGCTTGTCGCCAACCGCAGAAAAGGACCGCACCTCGACTTGTTATCAGATCTCAAGTCTGAAAGGCTAGTAGAACCAGAGCTTTAGTACTCCGCACATTCTTCAAGCTCTCAGGGCTGCAATTGCCATCCGACGATTAGCTGGAAATGAAATGGACTCTGAACCCTTTTGCTGCTTTGAAACTCAGCTACCAGGATGGTTAAGTTAACAGCATGTAGAGACTGCGGCCTCGGGACCCCAGAGGAACCTTCCAATCAGCCTAGGAGTTCCTACAACGGGCAACTGCCCCCGAAACTCTACAAGCACAACACCGGAATCTGAACCCAGCTATCAAGATGGGAATAAAGTGGACGACGGCAGAGAAGGCCAAAATAAGCAGCGTTTCCTTTCCATACCTCCACGCCCGCAAAGTACAAACCAACCAAGCGTCAGCTGGAACACAAGCGCCTTCACGAATCGGCCCCGGTATACTCCCTTTATTACAGCCTCTACGACCATTCGCTTATAACCGGTGTCCTTCTAGAGAATGAGTACCATGGATTCTGGACTGCAATAGCGTACTAGAAGTTGCGTTCAGCGAGACTGGTGGTGTAGCGAGGCATACAGATAGCAACGAGCGTCTCTACGCATGGCTGTGCTAGCGTGTGTTAGCATATTCACCTGTTCCAACACGCTGACACTGCCTATTGGGACGGTATCACCAAGGAGAGATTAGGATTGCTAGACCAATGTATCATCCAATGCGGAACACGTCCATTATAAGACAACGTGATAGATCTCTTTGATGCCGTTGAAGACCTCGGGACTTGGCGACAACGATCTGATACTGGGAAGCTTCATGGCCCTGCCCCAGATTAATCATAAGTCTCATCAATGCGGAGTCTATGGACTTTCGCAGAACTGATGCCATTCCAGCCCAAACACCAAACCGAAAACAATGCCCCTCTCGCCAGCCGCGTTGAAAACAAGAAGACGGCGCCCCTCGTCGTCCAAGGCCGGTCAGCGACTTATTGAGCAAAAGCAAACCCGACCACCGCTTCCTCATCGAGACACTGCACCGGCAGGGCTTCTCTGTGTGGCCTTGCGGATCAGTAACCTTAGTTATCTTTCAATGCCATCCGCATGTCCATCCAACATCCATATTCGCCTCGCTGTGCCTAATAGCACTCCGCGAGTCACGCCTTCCAAGGTTGCAAAGACGTGGTTTGAATTGTGATGTTAAGCGGGCTCGTCTTCTCGTTCTTGCACCAAGTCATTCGTCTTGCCATCAGAAAGTCTCTGGGCTCGGTCTCATTCCGAGTAGAGGTGATAATGGCTCCTAAGCTAGATAAGAAGTTTTAATATTGGGAAGGTAGTAGTAGTAGTAGTGATATTCAACGCC